GCCTACCGCCACGAGTCAACCCTTCCCGGGCCAGGTGCTCCGAGCTAGCGAGCGAGCCTGTAAACAACTTTGGCCCACAGACTACCTCGTGTGATCGTGGTCCATCTACTGTTCTTGGCTATATGTATGGCGCCGTATTAATATCCATGCTTGGGGATGACTAGCAGAAATATTGTCATCCCAGGTTAAGTATTGAACCACTGAATGAGAGTTAAAGTGCCATGTTGTTCCTAGCGAACTAACATGAGGTATTGTATGTTGCTACAATTGTGGAGTTTGTCCAGTGTGTTATGTATTTATCGGTAGTGACCATGAAATAATAACCCGAGTGTATAATGTTATAACCAAGAATTGAAGAAGTAATATGTTACTTATAAAAGTACGACCTGAGGATCCAGTGTTATCTGACCGTGTGTAATAATTTCTAAATCTTACTTGTCAAAGAAATAATACAACAGTAATGAGTAATAGTTGTTAAATGATATAGTAAGTACTTGAAGTGTTTAGTGAATTAATAAGTAATTGCAGATCTGTTTTGTCAATGGTACAGTAAGACCTGAGAGTCCAGTTTGTCTGGGTGAATTGAAGTAACATCTTATTCACTCACTATGTTAATAAATATTGAATTAGTAATCTATGAGTATCACCTCTCTACTCCTTCTAAACATTGGTTCCCGGAAAATAATACTTACTCACGTGCCTATACATCTACCACACTACCCATAAGCTTTCCATGAGATATGTTATATTCTAACCCAAAAGTCTGGTGGTGGCAGCCTACTTGTAAGTATAATAAGTGTACTAAGAATAACATGGTTCCCAGACTAATCCATGTATAAGAATAGTGTAAAACAGAGTATACTCCAGAAAGGTAAGAACATTGAAATTGAGTAAATATAGTACAGGTTGTACCTCTCTAGTCTGGCATTCTATGGTCCGGAAACTCCCGTGGTTCGGAACGATTTTAGTTTGCCCAATAGGTAGATAAACAGCTCTTTTTTTTTCTTTTTTTTTTTATCTGAATTATTATTATTATTACAGGAGTATTACATTTTTGCCCCTCAGGCTCCAATGTGGGTCAGTGACCTATGCCCAGGTGGGCTAATCCCTGTAAAAAAAACAACAACAACAAAGCCACGGGAAATTAAGGTTTGTTTACATCCGGCAGTTCGGCTGCTCTCTCTCTCTCTGTTTGTCTATACAGAGTACAACATTTAACCCTTCAATATATATGAACAGTAAATAAGTGTTGCTTTCATATTCTTATGAAGAGTAATGACCATATGTTTTCACATGTGCGCACTTACATACGCGATCTAAATTTTTTTCTTTAACATTAATGGTTAGCTACTTATATTGTTCCATTTATTAACATTAAATAACATTACTTCAAACAACCATATTAATTTTTACATTAATTTTACTACAGCTACAACCAGTCTTATTTTCTTGTTTTATATGCAGAACCAATCAGTCACTGGTTTTGTAAACATTTAACGAAAACAATGCCGGCAGCCATCTCGTCTCTTCGTGTGTTTTAATATTCCACGAATTATTAATGAATTGTATTGTTCATTTTGCACACACAAACATTAATTAAAAAAAAAATCAGAAACATTAATTAAAACATATATGAACAGTAAATAAGTGTTGCTTTCATATTCTTATGTAGAGTAATGAAGATATGTTCTTCACATGTGCGCACTTACATACGCGGTCTCACTTTTTTCTTTAACATAAATGGTTTGCTACTTTTATTGTTCTATTTATTAACATTAGATAACATTACAGTGGGGTATGCTATAACGAATCTAATTGGTTCTAGAACCTTGTTCGTTATAGCATTCGTTCGTTATAGGATTAATCCGTTCCAGGCCCCCAAATACAACCACTTAACACTGAAAAATATAATATAAAATTGTAAAAATTGTAAAAAAAGTGCATAAATATGCATCTAAACTCCTGAAATAAAGAATATCATTAATACTTGTAATAAAAAACAATAAATTAGTATAAAAAAAAAAAAATACTGTTCGTTGTAGGAGTTTCGTTCGTTATAGCATTCTCAATTTTATAGGTAAAACCGTTCGTTATAGGAATATTCGTAGTAGAATCCGTTCGTTTAGTAATCAACGAAAACAATGCTGTCCCATTTCCTCGTGTGTTTTAATATTCTACGTATTATTAATTAATTGTATTGCTCATTTTGCACATATAAACATTAATTCAATAAAAAAGACATTCAGTAATAAACAATAATGAATCATTTGTACATAAGAGAAATGACGCTGTTTACACAATTGTGCACATCGTCTGAACGTTGGCGGGCCGTTCAAACCCCTCGAAATTCGAGTTTCCACTGTCAAAATTTTAAATTATGTAGTGTATTTTTTTTGTGTCCAAATAAAAAACGTTGAATTAAAAACTCGCGAAATTTGAGAAGTTACTGTACGACATTTAACTCTTCAATATGTCTTCAAAGAGACCATGAAGCAGTGAAAGTGGTGCAAACGTAAGCGAAAGTCACTATCTGTCCAGGAAAAGGGTGAATTTCCATGGTCCGGCACCAGTCAGGTCCCGAGGTTGCCGGACTAGAGAGGTACAACCTGCATATATGAAAGAAATGAAAGACTTGGAAAGTACAAGAAAAGAAAGATAAGACATGTATGTACATTGTGGAACTAAAGACACAGCATAGAAATTATTAAAGAAATACAGCATGAAAGTGTAATATAAAAAATATACATAACTAAGACAAGAATTACTTATACTGTATAAGAATATAAGCAAGAGTATAAAGTATATTTATAAATAAAGAATTGAAGAATAATAACAGAAAAGAATATCTGAATGGTAAAATATGAAGAAAGAAAACGTCCCAATACAAATAGTGGCAGCTTAGATGGAATATTAAAGTGAAAGAATTTGCGCCACTATACTACCATCACTGACCCTACACCTCGAGTCAGAATTGGTGGTAACCCCCGATCTGACAGCTCACATCCTTAATTCCAACAGTGATTAAACCAAGAAATAAATACTAGCTTTTAGTGTAACTGAATAGATAAAAATAAGTGAAACTAAATAGTATAAGTGAAACTTCAGTAAAGTTTAAGCAGCCCCCCTTTGTCCTCCAACACTGATTTAGCTTGTCATTTTATTTTGAAGTCAAATTATATATCATCCTTTGTACTATTATTTAATACTGCACGTTATATTATTTATGATGAAACATAAACCACAATAGGCTGATCATATGATCACACGAGAATATAATAATGAATAAATAAAAACAAAGTGGTTAATGAGGCAACAGCCAGGCACATATACTGGGTTACAAGGGGAAAGGACAAGCGACCCTCCCCGTGCCTCTACTACTCTCTTCTTCACTTTCACCTCCTATCTACACCCTCCATAATTGTTTAAGTAAATAAGAACAAGAATAAGAGATAAGGTATGAGAAATCATGTAAACAAATAAAATAAAAATAGAAAGAAATAGAGTAATTAAAGAATAAATAGAAATAGAAATAAGATATAAACATTATGTTTGTGAGCAAAAATTGTAATTTCTCCTCAATCTCTCATGTAATATCAGGTAACACATTGTATATAAACTTCTCTCATTTGCAATACATATAAAATAATTTATATCCTTTAATGGGTATTCAACAGGTTTCGGTGAATGTTATTATATTTATTTTTTCAGTACATACCATAGCTCGGATTTCTTATATTTTATTTTTATATTTCTACTGTTTGTATTAGTAAACATTTAAGTTAGGCGTGATCTGAATCTTCTCTCTGTTGCATTTTGAGTTTAACCCCCTGACTAATTTAACTTTATCGTCATTCTTTACAAAATTTTTAGGGCACCGGATACTGCACCAAACTGGCTTTCTAAGCAACTACCGGTACTGGTTCACTAGGTTTCAGTGCTTTAGCTTCATATGGCTCTGGACCAAACTCATCCCAGTTCTAGGATAAGGCTCTTCTGATCTAAAAATTTGTGACTCTCCTTTATCTTAGTTAGGATTCATTTCCATTAGCTACCTCCTTCATCATCCCCCCTCTAAATAAGCATGAAGCATGGTTCATAAACTAGCTTTCATCATCCTAAAGTCAGGCCAATCCTTTATGAGGCCCCTTCCCCTGATTCTTTACCAGGTTAATGTTGTGTCCATGAGTTAGGCTCTCCATCTAAGGCAGTCCTGATACTAGGACCATGAAAAAGCTGAAGGGTGAATTAGTTATCTCATAAATACAGCAATAGTTTCAAAAAAAGAGGCAAGACTGTCTAAGCAACCACTGGACCAAGAACTTGTAATAATGCTTTGACACTGGTTCACTGGGCAAAATGAGCAATTTACAGAACTATGGCTACTAAGATCAGGCTTGGCTTGTGTGAGTTTGCTGTGGTTACATGATGTTATCTCTCCCTGCTGCACAATCTCTCTTGTCAGGGTCCTAACCCTAAATGTAATTTCTTAGAACTCTTCATGTTATTCATGACCTAGCCTTGGCTTTCCTCCCTTCCACATTTAGGTTCATGCACCTTATGAACCAACTGGTCTCATCATTTTCTCCAAATGAAGATTCCTTGACTAAGCTTATGCAAGTCAAAGGATTTTGGCTCTTCCTAGAGATTCCTAATCCTTGGGTAAAGCTAATCTGGTCATAGGATCAAGTTTTGATCTCAACGCTAATGGTTAAGGGTAAGTTCCACTTCTTTCTACATTTGGAAGGGAATAAAGTTTGCTGGAAGTGTTAAAGGGCTAACCATGCACCTCATAATTATAGCCAAGTGGTTGCAGGTGAGGAGTGAGATATTCTGGGTTTTATCTAAGAAAAACTTTCACCTGACTTTGGAAAATTGCTAGAGCATCATATTTAATGTAACTAACATTTGATTCTCCAGAAGAAATGTACAACTTTTGGGTTGCTGAACACATAGTTATCCAAGCCCTACATATGTCAAGCAAAAAGGAATACAGTACTTACTGACAACGCAAGGCACGGTTCTCTGCAATTATGGCATTAGATTCCTTTCCCGATTTCTCAAGCAATGAAGTGAGAGAGACAAGAGCTGCAGGTAACGGTGGCTTCTTTGGCAAATTTTTCACATTAGGAATAGGTTGTATGGTGGGTTGAGGTAAACCAGTAGTGGCAGCATTGCGACTGTGGTTGATCTGAAAAAATTATCGAGTCTTAGAATACTATTACCACATGCTTCAGAATACTGGACAAATATTTTTCTCTTCTACCTCTATTGCTACATGCATCAACTGACACAGAAATAAAACAAAAATTATCCATCTATTTACCCACATTAATTATCTTCCTCTTGCTAGGTGTGTAATATGTGCTCCTAGAAATTAATATTCACGATTCAAAGGGGAACAAACACATCAATATATTGAAGTCTTCAGTTAGTTAGAATGTACAGGGTACTTAAAAAACAGGGTGGACTAATTTCATGTGAAATATGATAAACATGTATAATGTAAAATTTTTCACTCTCTCAAGCCCTTTCCCACCATAATGCATGGCGGTGAGATCCCCTCCCTTCACTCTTTCTTTCTTATTGCTGTGACATGTGTTGTGCTATGACTCACCAATGAAGGTGGATGATCGTCATACTTGATTACGAGTGACAGCAAAGTATAGTGTAGTAGCTATGACATTCCCCTTCCACAACAAGACCCAAAATAAATTTTTAAAGTATGTACAATATCAGTGAAAGATGAGCACCATCATTTACATATTCATCAAAGATGGAGTTCTGATTAAAAAAATTCACCAAAATAAGTCTTTCCACAATGAATCAACAGAGTTAGTTTTATCAAGAATGTTTGGCAAGACATATCTTCCTTTGAGACTAGATCCAGTGCAAACATCATGGCGAACAAACTACAATATCAAATGACTACAAAGCTCTTCCACTTAATGAAACAGTCATTTGTATAAGTTGGTTATCGTTACATAGCTTTTATGTATCTGACCCCCCTGAAGCTTGGGTCTCGCTCTCTCACTAACTCAGCGTATTTATCACCTGCCTTTGCTCATTTGAGAAAAAATCAATAGAAATAAGAATATTGCAATACTCTAATATGGCTTAGAAATAAAAACAATATATTACTATCAAAGAAAAAAAAATGTATGTTTGGGAAGTGAACGTATGTATTGAGGCAGTGAGCTGTAACTGTGGCCAGTCACACTCTCCCTCCCCTTATGTGATGTCACAGCATGCGCACATGAATTGTCGTGTGTATACTATACCAGTAAATGTGAGGAATATATAAAAATAATACTAAGAATAATAAAATAGAATTATTGCATTACCAATCGTTTCACTACACACAGGAAACAGCAATCACCCAAGATCCACCACACAGCTCCCCCCTCCCACGATCTGTGCTAACTTTCGCGCACAAAGAAATGTTTATTCCCTATGTTTTTGAGCGTATGTTGATTTTTTTTTTTCACCTTCTGTATGAATGATTGTGTGTGCATCGTATAAATCAGCATTGGTTGACCCTCTGGCATGGGGTTTTAACATTACTTGTGAAACCCCAGAATTTATCAAATGATGAGATCATCCTTTTTCATTCAGAGACCACCTCGGCCTAAAAGAATCCCACCTTGGTCTCTAGATCAAGTTACTAAATTTCTTATGGGGCCTATTTACAATATAAATCCAAACCAGGACAGATTGCTCCAGAAAGCAGCCTTCCTTCTAGCAATAGCAACAGGTATGAGAATCAGAGCTGGTTTCAATTTCCAATAATCCATCATTATTGGTATTTTCTGAGGAAGATGTCACGCTTTTTCCTACGGAGATTCTAAGAAAAAATGAAAGGGAGGATTTTCAAGTTCAACCTATCCGGATAAAACGGCTAATAGATGAGACAAGGGTTCCTCATATATTTTGCCCAGTTAAGAATCTTCAAGAATGGTTAACCAGATTCCCCAATCGAGGCCCCTATGTATTCTCATCACAGGATGGGAAGAAATTGTCTCCTAGTTAAATGACAAAATACTTATCTCAGTTAGTGAGTCAAGCAGACCCTGGCAAGAAATTTTGGGCACATAATATCAGGAAACATGCAGGGTCTGAGGCCTTTCTGCAGCATACGAGCCTCAGTCAGATCAAAGAAGTGGGCTTTTGGAAATCTTCAAAAACCTTTCAAAACAGCTATCTTCATCTATCTCTGAAAGATGCTTCACATGTGGTGGTACTGGGGTCCCCTCCCCCACCTAGTCCATCTCCACAACCAGGACCTTCTTCTTCCTCATCAGAATAAAGTGAGTATCCTAATTGGGATATGTAAATTAAAATTTTACTTCGGGTAAATGCTCCTAATATTGAAAATATTCCCCAAAAAGTTTATAATTATTATCTGAACCTAAGCTAGCGGAGCCTTATACGCAATGTTACTTCCCTCTCCTGCTCGGGTAATCAAAGCTAGACATCGCATTTTGGATTGAACAAAAAGCGTTTTATTTTCTTCTTAAAAACCAGTTTTTGAGAGAAAGTCCAGAATGTGACATCGACATCCCACCCATCTCCACCCCCCAAAAGTTGACATTTGTTTACTGCTCGCTCTAGGGCAAGAGATGACAGTAGTGATGTGTGTGCTGAAGGGTGCAGGAGGGGGTTTTGAGAATTGCAATTAAATGCCAGGTAGCGACATGTCCTCCTAATATTACGTATTTAAGTAATTATTAGATGTTTTAATTGCCAGTATGTTGGCCTGGCGAGTTAATACAAGGCATATACAGCTGCTCCCCGACTTACGACGGGGTTAGGGACCCAAATCCAGGTAGTAAGTCGAAAAACTTAAATAATACATAGAAAATCTAAAATGGATTTCTCTTTTTCTTCTCAGCACCACAAAACTCTCACTTTTAAGCTTGCCAGCCATTTTAAAGTGAATTATAAACGAAAATTTTGTCAGTACACAGCGCAATCACTGACGTTGAGACTCGAAAATACATAATGTGACAAAATTTTGGTACGACTGAGGCGGTTGCATGTCTGGGTGGTCGTAAGTCGGGAAGTAGCTGTACATACATAGGTATAAAGCTACACGTGGCATTCTGGACTTTATCACAAAAACTTTTTTTTTATAATTTTTTTTATTATTATTTATTGGTATTATTTTTAACTACTGTATTTCTCACATTTACTGGTATATCCGTATATTATTTTATCTTATCTCTCATATGAGTTGGTAACTGCCGGGAATTCAGTTTCAGAGATGGTAACACTGTTCATAGCGTCAGCTGTTGTTGTGGCAGTCACGACCAAAACTTGTTGGTGTTGTCTTGCTACAAGGTAGGACTAGGACTATACCTTGTATACTGTATTTCTCAAAAGCTAGTGTCGTTATTCTGTATTGTTGTGATGAGGGCTAGGCTGGTGGAACCATGTGATCCCAGCCACCTCACTTCACAACAGGTGTTCAGTACTCTTTATATTACTAGCCATCAAAATAATAGAAAATTATAATAAGAGTAATGATAAAAAGGATTAAAAAGCTATTACTTTATCTCACCATGATTGCCTCTTCATTCTAGAAAGATTATACTGCATAAGGACACTGACTGTTCAAATGCAATTCTAACCATTGTGTTACCTGAATGAACATTCCTATACCTGTAGCTTCAAGAAATATGAATTTAAATGAGGACCTTGTGTACTTAATCCTTTTGCTGCATTTCACGCATTTGCCATTTTATTCTAGCTACTGCCCAGCGATTTGATTCAGCTTTGGGAAGCCTTCCGCGGTGAAAGGTTTAACAAGAGTTAGGTCTACAGATAAACACACTCACACATCCAGACATACTAGTTGCATTCTAATCACAGTGCCTTATCATTTGACACTGATATAAGAAAAGGAAAATAAATATCTTACATGAATTTCTACAAGTGCATGAGTGTTGTTGATGGCTTTTATGAACATACAGCATTTTGAGGCTTGCATTTCCTTGAATTTGGATGCTTTGTCTCTTGTCACCTAAGTTGTGTGTGGAAATGATTGATAATTACACTACAGTATACATGAAGCTGTACTATTGACCAACGTATATGATCAATTTCTTAAGAAAACTTACATTCCCCAATTGATTGTGAAACTTTTGTAGATCTAGAATAAGCAACTTCTGCCAGAAAACTAGGAGTGGAGACTAATTTTGACATGCAACTGCCCGAATTCATTCTCTATTCCTTTCTGGATGTAAGGAAAAACTTACAGCAATTTCCATGATCTTCCATATATCCTTCTGACGTTGCTTTTGAAGAGATGATATATGCTGTGCTGTTCTTGCAGCATCCTGCAACACTGTTTCTAGAGGAGATGAGAGTGCTGCTACTTCACTGCAACAGTCACTTTGTTTTCTGAAATTAAGTCACACATGAAAAAAAATAATGTATGAGATGATGGAACAGCTTGAGAACCAAAATGTGCACTGGAAGGATAGTAAGGTAATACAGAATGTGAATTAGTCACCAATCTTCTGTATTAGTAAAGGATTCTAAAAATACCCACTATTACTGCAACCTACCCTCAAATGGACACTGTTTTAGCCGAACAAAATCACAATTCGCTGTACAGTGTACACTACTCACAATTTACATTTTGTAGCAGTGTCTTTTCTACTGCCATGTCTCCATGTATAATTATATAATTCTTTTCTGTAAAACCATGTTATTCTCACTATAAATTCAAACTTATCTTATTTCTACATCAGTCCCTTCCCCTTTCTGTTATTCCAGGTACTTCAAATTTATTGCCAATAACCTGGATGACATGATCAGTGCTGGAGGTGGTGCTAAAGCTAGCTCAGTTGCAAGAGTCAGAAGTGGCAATAGGAAGTTTAGGGAGTTGCTGCCTTTATGGATGGCAAGAGGATCTTCTCTTCATGAGAAAAAGAAAAGATGTATGCAAATGGCTACAAAAGTGTGATATATGACAGTGAAACTTGTGCAGTTGAAGAGGATGATAAATGGAGGTTTGAGCGAGCTGAAATTAGAATGGCGAGGTGGATGTACAGTCGCGGACTCTTCCACGTTGAACACCCAGCCAGACGAACAGAGAGGTAGAATCAGCTTACGATCTGGTAACAGTGTGTGTGTGTGCGGGGGTGGGAGGGGGAAAGATTGGGGGAGTACTTGAGTTCCGTGTTGTATAATATAAATCATATATTATTTCGCACACAAAAGAGTGATGGAAGTGGAAGAGGTGAATATGGTATAGGAATATGTATTTACAGTAGCATTACATCTTTACCACCTCCTAAGACTATTCATGTGTTCCCTGGGTGGACCAACAAGACAACAAAATTTTGTGATTTCCAAGAATAATGATGATAATAATATTCTATACAGTAGATATAAAAATAATCTCCAATTTCATGGAAAATGAATATTCTAGGGCCAATAATTACTTTTCTAGTCTCAATAATTAAATTTTCAGCCGAAAATTATGGTTCATTGTCTCTGATACAGAATCCTGAACACAATAAATAAATAACAGTTATTGGTATACAGTATACCATTTGAATAACAATAAAACATGTCATAAAATATACAATATATACATAATAAAACACACACTGTGTCCTCAAAGAGAAGTGGAAACCCTTAGACTCTTAGAGCATCAGGAGGAATAAGATAGAAAGTGGGAAGTTAAATATATGGCACACATAAAAACTCAGACCACGTGGTAACTGATGTCAAAGGGTTAAACTGCCTACATTATCACTATTATTCTCTCACATTTAGAGCTTTCTATGTAAATATTTAAGTCTTCCCAAAACCTCTTTTTTTCCTACTTAGATTTCTTACTTCCTGGCCATTAACTCCTCTGCTATGATTTGTGGTATATTTAACATGTATTGTATGCGTAACTTTCAGGAAAAATAAAGATACGCATATAGACTACTCTTTGATTTAGCTGTGATAAAGAGCTGAAGGTTGTCTTTGTGGTGGCTAATGCACCGAGTAGAGTATGCAAGAGTTGAAGGATGGGTGTAATCACAGGCTTAGGTTGCACATGTATTCACAAAGCTTTTTCTTTCATGAAAGATTTACACACCTTTTCTTGGCACTAAATATCATTCAGCAATGGAAAGACCACTGAGCTAAGTGTGTTGAGTCCCAAGGGGCCTACTTTGAAGGGGATTAAAGTCTGAACTCAGTAAGTAAGCTTTTTTTTTTTTCACCTGCTAAAGGTCGGATACTTTTCGATCAGACCTTGTACATAAAAACATATTAATCCCTATCACTAAATACTCACTCCACATGTTTGTACAAGTCCTGCTGCAGTCTGTCTCTTTTTCTCAGTGCCTGAAGCAGAAGCTTACACATATCTGTGTTGTCATGTGGTGTTGCCCGCTGTTCTTTACTACGGCGACGCATGTTGCAGTAGAGTTCCTCTCCAGCTGTAAGCCTGGAATGTAGAAACACCATGAGCATTAAGGTTCAATTGTGGATGAAATAAATCTCAAGAAACTGTAATGGGCAGGAGATTTTGCACGCTGGAAAGTTTAAAATCATCAAGGAGTTTGAGCCATGTGCACAACATTTGCTACTTTTAATCTGTAACTTCTTATATCCAGAGTCTATGCTTCTTTCCCATAGCGTAATATTGGCTAACAATTCCCCCATGACTCTCCCAAGTTTTCTCCTCAACACAATTTGTTCTTTTCATTAATTCCTTAACCAATAAATGACAGGAATTTTCTATGTAGACTATTTGCCCTGATGGAGAAATAAGGGTTTTTAAAAATGGACAACATTATAAAATTTTCCTAAGAAAGGGAAAATCAAATTTCCTGTACACCTAACATAAGTCAAGAACACTGGGAGGGAAGATACTGTGTATGTGACCAGGTGAGAGGCACATTACTGGGGGATTGAGATGTTGCCACGTAGGCCAGCTTGGACCTGTTTTTTATTTTTTTATTCATTATTTTGGTGTAATGGTTAATTATAAATAATATAACATCTTCAATAATATATATATATATATATATATATATATATATATATATATATATATATATATATATATATATATATATATATATATATATATATATATATATATATATATATATATATATATATATATATATATATATATATATATATATATATATATATATATATATATATATATATATATATATATATGTGGTATGAGGAACTCCAGAGACAACTATTTTGTGATTTAGAATATTTTTGATGTGGATATGTATTTTCCTAAATCCTGAGGAGGAAAAAAAAATATTTTGTGGATTCAAAATGGAATTTGCTACCAGCCAATGCAACCCAGCCCAGGGGAAGAGACGCTACGGCTTTGTTTACATTATGAAGGCGCATCAGCTGGGCCCAGTAACATGCGTGTCCCTCGTATTTCCCGCTCTGTTAGGGTGTGTTTGATAGTTTGAGCATAATAAGTGTTATGTGAAGAATGTGATGAACTCATGGAGGTAGTTTGTAAGCCAGAATAAGGCTAATACTGGCTTTGTGAGTTGACACCAACAGCCACCTCCCTGTGTTATGCTGGTGGGTTGGGTTTATTATGTACTGTTTAGTTCCTACTACTGTGTGGTGCCAATATGTGATTATGACAACAGTTGATGCTTGTTTTGTATTTACAATGTATAATAACTAGTCATGTCTGATCTAGGTCCCAGCCTTTCCTTCCTCGGGTGATTTCTAGAGTACATAAAGGAGAGAAAACCACAAGTGTGTGTGTCATATCCCTGCTATGAAACTTACACAGTATCAAGGGAGTCATTAGCTCGTGCCCGGGCAAATGGTGAGCATTGGAGCTCTAAAATACGGGTATTAAGAGCAGTGAGGGAGCCCTCCAATTGCTGCACTCGTTCCACCATAGCGTGCACCTGTCTTAGTGTCACTTCACCCATCTCCCGCCATCCACTATGCAGTTTTTCCGAGGCTGTGGTAAAACAGGGGAAAGAGAAATTAGTCTTACTTGTTTCCTAAGTGTTATGTATCAATCAAGCAGTTTCCCACACATAAGTTGGTGATCCATACACTGTTTTCAACCAATTAACTATGACATTTATTATTCACAACAAAATCTAAAAAATTATAAAATTATATACAGTATATAAATAAATACAGGTACTCCTCGACTTACTACCACCCAGACATACAACCGACGCAGTAGTACCAAATTTTTTTCAAATTACGTATTTTCGAGTCCCGACGTTAGTGATTGCGCTGTGTACTGACAAAATTTTCGTTTGTAATTCCCTTTAAAATGGCTGGCAAGCTTAAAAGTGAAAGTTTTGTGGTGCTGAGAAGAAAAGAGACACCCATTTTAGATTTTTTATGTATTATTTCCGCATTTTCGACTTACGACCTGGATTTGGGTCCCTAACCCCGTCGTAAGTCGAGGACTGCCTGTAGTAACCTCCCTGTCAACCAGAATAATTGGAACACATCGGTTTAAAATGGTAAGTTAAATACTGTAATATCTATGTTACTACTTCCCATTTCATTTATTAAATGAATCAATAAAATCAAATATTTATTAATATTCATATTTCAGTTTTATCATAAAGCTTAACAGGGTCATTTGGTTACCCTAGCATATTTTTTTTTCACAACAAACCACTGTATATACATTTCATTGCAACTATTAGTCTGGCTAAATCTGAGTAGCTGCAGCATGGGGGTATGTCATAGTCAAGCAATCTGATTAGCAAGGTCTCTCAATTCCATGTAGACAGCCTAAACATCACTTATACACTAACTGTTGATCACCCTCTCAACACACACTGAGGTATTGCTGACTCTGACAATTAATCCTGTTAAACCTAAAATACCATGTTTGACATACAGTACATGCTATGTTTCAGCCACGCCTCATTCTTAACATTATTCTACTTCCTAAATTAAAATCCATGGACCAAGCATCTCTCTCAAAATCTTAAAAAAATATATATATGTTTGTTTCTATTTGATCCTTCTTTCTTTTTTATAAACTTACATAAAAAAAAAAAGTTTGACTATCCTCACGCCATCTTCCTTAAAAAAGCTTTGTCTTGCTCCAAACAGAATACAACTCTCACACTTCTCTCCGAGGCAACACTCCAATCTACCCTTCTTTTCATTTTCTTGTTCTAAATGTTAATTGAATTGCCAGTGTTCAGATGAAAGTCAAGCCATCATTGCATGCCTCTTTATTCCAAAATGTTCTACATGGTACTTTATTCCACTGGTTCCCTTCAACACAATGATGAATATCCAACTCCCACTCTTCTCCCAAACACCTAATGACAATGAACTGCCCTCCGGTTAATTGTCCTTTATGAGGAGGACATACACACAATGCTGTTAACAAATATATATTCTCTTCTATAAAGTCTTTAGTCAATGACACTCAAATTTGCCTACATCAAATAATGACACAAGGTTCCCAAGTGCTGATAATCTTGACATTATTAAAACACTCACCTCTCATCTTATCCAATCAATCTAAATCCTATTTATGCATATCAACCATTCCTGCAGAAAGAGAAACAACCCTTCCCTAACATTTCCTTTAACTTTTTACTGTATTATTGTATTCTTATGATCAATGAAATAAAAACTTACTCAGTCGTCCTGATGATGCCTGTTCTTCATAGTAATCAAGATCTGTGTTAAGTGCCTCCATGAACAGATGATGGCGTGCCTGCAACTTTGCAATATCACTGAGCATTCTCTGGCCAGTCTTTGTCAGCTGTGCATGGCCAGACATTAGATGAAGCCTGCAAAGCATGGTTACATTTAATTCATTTACGAAAGACCCTCGAGTGTCGGACTAATTAAGCTACAGCGATGTTATTACTCAGACAGAATCTGTTATTCGAATGTCTATATCAGCCGCCATATTACATTAACACATATTGGCTTATTTAAGTACATAATAAATTAGTTCAAGTAAAATAATTAAACTTATGATAAACTTTCTGGAAATGAATTTTTTTCATTTAAAGTGTTAATTGATTAGGTAAGGTTCTAGGATCTAGAATGCATGTGGCATGGATGGCCTTGTGCAGTGTAAGATCAAATCAATGATGTGGATGTGTACAGTATACAGTATATACTCGAGTGCAGTTCGAGTTTTTGTGATCAAATTTTTATTAAAAAAGTAAAGGGGTTGAACTATATATGCAAAGTATTTTTGAGGGGTTAAAATTCATTCATTTCTGTGGGTCATTTAGGGTAAATGATAGCTGTACATACTCATAGTAAGCTCCTTCATCCTGGACTTGCTTATCATACCCTAAATTCTTTATGTTATTGCATGAAGAGCAGAGAACCTCATTCACTATACAGTACTGCGGGCCCCCAAATTCTCAGGGGTTGGGTTCTCAAAATGGCCGCGAATCGCCAAATCTGTGAATAACATTTGTGGACGGGGGGGAATACATTTCTACTTGTGTATAAAGAAATGTATATTCCCTTTATGTGTTTGCCCTAAGGACAATTATTTCTTTTACCTGTACTGTATTGTATAAATGTGTGTGTGTGTGTGTGTGTGTATAGACACACACACAAAACACATTACAAATAAATAATATTGGGAAGATACTCTCACAAATAATCAGAAACAAATTTATTAAAAATGTGAGTCTACCCTCAAGTCCGTGCTTTATTAATTAAGTAATAAAACACAGACTTGAGGGTAGACTGTCACATTTTTAATAAATTTGTTTCTGATTATTTGTGATTGTATTTTCCAATTATTATTTATTTGTATGTATTTTGTGTGTGTGTCTACACACTCACACATAATTACAATACAGGTAAAGGAAACTTTTTAAGACAGGACAGTATCATAGCAGTGCACACCTTAATTATATATATAAACAATACCTCACTTGTCGGGAATCGAACCCTGGACCTCAGCGCGTGAACAGCAGAGGTCCAGGGTTCGATTCCCGACTAGTGAGGTATTGTTTGTATATATGGAAGTCTGCATGCATGCTATATATACATTGTATGGGGGGGGTTGGTTGGTTGGTCCATATGATTTCCCGGCCTTTTTAATGCAGGAAGGCATCATTTAAATAAATATATGCCAATATCTTAACCACGAATAGCGCCCGGGAAAAAAATATCTTCTCTGAGATGTCTGGTCATTCTGTGGGCTCCAAGCACGGCAAGTGACAGGCTCACTAAATAAATTTCAGGGAATCCCGAGTGTGTTCATGGTTTTAGCTGTATTTTTCATCTCAACTGTATACAACTGTTGTTTGAAATACCACAATTGTTAACCCACTTGTGGTCTTTCGAGGCAAATTGCATTGCTAAGCACTCCTGCGCTGGAGCAATCCCTTCTGTTCAGCTGTATCTCACACTGAGAGCACCCCTCCAGTAAGCAGAAACACAGGAACAGTGGACCGAGCCTATCAACCACCTAAGTTCATGGCTAGCAGATGCATCTCTAAGGGTACAATTTGGGTCTGGATCACTCTACCCAATGTTTATTAAAATAGAAAACGGTTCCTGTTACCGACGGAGGTTCTGCAAGGGGATGAGATTTCCGACCATGGCCAGGAGTACCAGAGGTAGGTGGTATTGTTTATGAATACTGGTAAAGGAGGTATAGGGAGCTGTGAGTTTGCTTTAGCCTTAACTTGACTTACCATGCAGGCCATTACTTTACATTTTGTAATTGTAATAGAAACACCAGACTCATAAATATGGCCACATCCCCCTAGCCCTTTCTCCACCACTCCAAGCCAACTTTGTCAGATAGTTATGGTTATTTTTAAACTTGTAATTTGTTACATGGACACAATATTTCATACAGAATATGCATAACAATATATATATAATTATCATAAGTTTAAAAAATAAAAGGGAATAATAACCATTACATAGCTCACAGCTCAGCCTCGCCTGCTCTGAGTGTTACTGGGTGGCAAATCAGCAAAAAAATTACAGTCCACTGCCTCCATGAGCCCACACATACATTCACTTCCCACACACCCATGCTCTTCCTTTTTCTTACTTTATAATTTTATATTATATTTTCTTTATTTCTAAGCCACATTAGAACATTGTAATATTTTTCACAACTTTTATAGTTTCAATACATGTACTGTACCAAAGGCAACATGTCATCTTGCAGTCCACCTCATCCCTGGTTTTTCCCCCCATCACTGTGAGTCGGGTTATTGCTAAACAGAATTTTGACCTATTGCTAAGTGAGAAAGGTTAACAAAATTTATTTAGCGCTAAACTGAATTAAAATTAAGTGAATTAACACTAAATGAGGGATAACTTTATGTGTACTGTACTGTATACTTCATGTGTCCACAAAAGTGAGTAATAAAAGAAGTTTTATCATATGTTAAATATCATGATATAAAAAATAAAACCCCTTTAGCTCCAATACAGTGTTCTGAAGTTTGTCTAGTTAAGGGAATTCCTTAAGTATTCGTGGTAGTCTTGATGGATTACCCAAAGAGAAATCTGTATTTTCTACATTTCATCACTCTTTCCCGCATTCAAATTATTGCAAATGTTATTTTACTCTTGGTCTTTCACTACACAATGTTTATGGTTTAATAGAGAATGCGTGACTAAGCCCTGACAAAACAGTACAACTGGTATATAACTGTGGGTGGCAGGAGAATTTTTACTGGCACATAATTATCAGGGCCCACTGATTAAGTGGAAAGTAAAAGAATGGTAAAAAGACTATGCAGTAATTCAAAACCAGGTAGGGTACGGTAAGTAGGGATGGGATGAAGGAGACACAAAAAGTGAGAAATGAACATCCAAGAAACAGTAGTGTATTGGAATTAGTAGAGGGCATGGCACTGATGGGTGATACTAAAGGTGGTGTTAACCAAAATGGGAAACTTTTTAAGACAGGACAGTATCATAGTGCACACCTTAATTACAGTAATAAGAATGAAGGAAAAATATACAGATGTTCCATTGTTTCCCTTTTCCCTGTGCGATTTTAACAAGATCTATTTTATCCACATTTTCATTGTGGATCTACATGAAATATATGTGTGTGTGTGTGTGTGTGTGTGTGTGTGTGTGTGTGTGTGTGTGTGTAATATTGATCTTTATTCTGGACACCAGACATTAAATAGAAAAAGGCACCTAACAAATGCAGAATTAAAGTCCACAAATTATGGCTGAATAAAATATGTACTTTACTACACAAATCTAAGTACAGTACAGTACTTAACATCCTTGTGGAGGGGCTTAAAAACTTACAAAATGCAGTAAAGTTTAAGGCTCATCTTCAGTAAATTTCTACATCAGCAAAACAATCTTAAAACTTTTATATCAGGCTTAGAAAATTGGAATACAGTACTAACATGGACACTTTCTGAGCCTGTGTGAGGAGGGTAAGGATCCGAGCCTCACGATGAAGGAAGAAGATGGCATGTGCCCACATTCTACGCTGAGTTTGGTAATCCACAGTTGCCCGTGGCTCACGTAACATTGCTTCCACCAGAGGGGGAAAGTGGGGTGGCACCTGTGGTCTAGTCATGCCTTCTGCAAAGATGTATAGCAGCCATTCATCTTCATCCTGTAATTAAAAAAAATAAAAATAAAGTAATTGTGGATTAAATGCAACTAATTATAATTTAATTGTATGTCCTTTAACCTAATCACTTAAACTCCAAAAAAGATGCAATTTCATGAAATAAAACCTCCTACCAGGTATTAGAACCCTAAGTACACATAAAGGGCTTTGTACCTGCTGCATAAATGACCATTACGTAATCTAAGTGTGCCCTGTACATTATTAGTATCCTATGCTCATAATGAAGAAATGCTTGCGATAAGGGCACCATCATCATCATCATCACAGCTATTATTAAAGTCATCTAAAGATGATATATTTCTCTGGCCCTTTGGGCTGGATGGACAGACTCATTAGAGTAAAAGCACCTTGACACACTGTGCACCATTATTTGTGTCAAGCAGCTTAAATATCCACTGAAAACTGGTGATCAAGTTGATTTTACAAACTTCTGTAGATCACTGTACAGTATCAGGACACAACCCACCAAGAATACAGTGTTAAAGCAGTGTTAAGATGTAAAAAGTGGTTACAGTTACGTATACTGTACTGTACTGTACATTCGGTAAGTGAAAAACACTGGAGCACCTCAGCTTTCGTCTTTATTCAAGACAGTTTCAGGTCATTTTGTAATAGTGTACTGTATACATATAAAATATTTTGAAATGTTTCATATTTTGAGAATTTACCAACAGGATTATAACAGTTTTAATTTTATTTTGGAAAAGCAAAGCATTATGAATTATGAGTGATTTTGAATTTGAGGGGTATGAATTACGGTATGATTTTTTTTCTGTGAGTAACAATGAAGTAATAAAAGTTAATGGTAAAGAAATATCAAATAAACGCTATGCAGATGATACTGCTCTTATCACAGATAGTGAAAAGGCATTACAAAAAAATGGTTAACAGATTAGTGGAAAAAGGTGAAGAATATGGGCTATCAATTAATGCTGAAAAGACGAATGTAATGTTATTTCCAAGTTGGAAATAAATCCTGAAATAAAAATTATGGTAGGCAACAGGGAACTTAAACAAGTGGAAAATTTTTGTGTATTAGGGAAGTAACATTAGTTGTGATGGTCGATGTGCAAAAGAAATCTTAAGAATAGGTCAAGCAAAAACAGTATTTAATAATCTAAAGGCCTATTAAAGATATTAACTTCAATTTGAGAAAAAGGCTGCTGAAAGGCTGTACTATATATGGTCAGGACTGTTGTATGGGTCAGAAGTGTGGACACTTTCAGCAGACACCAATAAGAGGTCAGAGGTCTTTGAAATGTGGTGTTTTAGGTGAATGTTAAGAATAAGTTACACTGACAGGAAAACAAATAAAGAAGGATTAAGGTTAGCAAAAACTTCAAGAGAAATACTTGAAATGTATAGTAAAAGATAAATTAGCTATTTTGGTCAAATAATTAAGGAAGAGGGGATAATAACAGAAATAGTAATGGGCAAAGTTGAGGGTACGAGGGCCATGGGAAGACAGAGCTTGGGATGGATGAATGAAATTAAAAACTGGGTCCCCAGAGACGTAAAATTTTGGATGATTGGTAGAAGCAGCCTGAAAACGTCTTGAGTGGAAGACTGTAGTCGCCACCCCTCAGATATGAGGTTTGTACTTTGACTGAGGCAAAGTGTAAATTAGGTTAATGTACCATTTATTATCAGCCGTCTACTGCATTTAACCCTCTCGTGGTCTTTGACTCAAATTGCATCGTTAAGCACTATCATGCTGGCATAACCTCTCCCGCTTAGCCGCATCTCACACTGAGAGCACTCTTCCTGCAAGTAGAAATGCAGGAACACTGGACTGCCCCTAACAACCACCTAAGTTCCTCCCAACTAGCCTCGTGGGCTGGCAGATGCATCTCTAAAGGTGCAATTTGGGTCTGGATCGCTCTACTCAATGTTTACTAAAATGGAAGAAGTGTTCCTGTTACAGATGCGACCTGTGTAGAAAGATTGAGAGGGGGTGAAATTTTCGACCAGGGCCATGAGTACCAGAGGGTTAATGGTAATTTTTTCATCCAGCATGGCTCTGGTTCAAAGGATGCCAGATAAAAGAGGATCAACCTGTACTGCATGATACCATAAAGGTAACTACAGTTATACAGTTCAGTTATTCAGACCTTCAGATATTTGAAGTTCTACTGTATGGTATTCAACAAAAGTGGTCCATGTGAATTAAATCTGAATACATCACCAAATGTTGTGTTAATAACCACCTTTCATAACTGGATAATATGTTAATAATAAACTAAGACTGATAATATAAGTAGAAATGAGAAAAATACTATAGTGTACTGAATTATGAAACAATATTAAATATCTTACAGGTGGAGCCCAGCATTGAATGGCTGGGCGGGTTGTGTCAGGAGGTTGGCCGCGGGGAAGCAGTGGCCGCTGGTCCTCTACTGCCACACCACTGTCTCGAGCTACCCACTGCTGAACCTCAGATAAAGATGTCGTTTCTGATACCTCATACTCCAGAAGGCGACATAAATCCACAACAAACACTTTGATCATCTATAAAATGAAGAAAAAACAGTTTTAAGCTTCTGTACTTCATATCTTCTAATACCAGCAAAGACAAACTCTTAATATCCTTCTTATCAAAATTTATAGGGGTAAGTTCTTTTATTTTATACTCGTTTTGTGCTATGATCTAGTGTCTACAGACTGTGAAAGAACACTATCAACCACTTGCTGGAAGTTATTTACTTATATTAAAACAAAGCTTCCAGCAGATTTTTGACACACATCAATAGAGCCCGGATGTTATGGCATTAAAATCCTTAAAAAAGGCAGGCAAATAGGCACTTAACTATTCAAATATAGGCAGCATAAAACAAAAAAAAAGGCACCAACCATTTTGTTTATAAAATGCAAAAATTTAATACAAATCTAAACCTTTTGATTAACAATGGAGTGGACACCTTTTACTTTGTACAGTACATTGTGCCTTTCTAATTTTGCCATTAATCTTCTGAGCTGGAAAAATGAACAAATGTAGTGTGAATGTGATAGAAAAAAGTAAATACATTTTCACTCCACATCATGTCCTTTCACAGAAATACCTATTTGTTAACATATACCAATAAAGCACCAGTAGTATGGTTACACAATATACATTATCCAAATATTTTTTCTTTTAGGGGGAACTAAAAACATATCATGTATGGTAGCTTTAACAGTACAGGGTACCACAATTCTCACAAACTAAAAGTAGGTACAACGAATTCCTTCATTTTATTTTGTATATTGTGCACTTTAAATTTTTCCATTATTCTTCAAAAGAAATAAACGTAGAGTGTATACCCTACAAAAAAGTATTTTAACCTCACACATCATAATTTTCTCTTCATAATAATACATGTACCAGTAGTATGGCTACACCATATACATTTTCTTTATTATTTTCCTTTAAAGGTGAACAAAAAAATCTCACAAACTAAAAGTAGGTACAGCCACATTACCTTCATTTCAGTTATTAATTGCCTGATATAACAAGAATATTTTTCAGGTTATCAAAAGTGAAACTTTGCCCCTTATCAGAGCGAATATCCTTGAAGCAAGAAAAAGATCTTTCAACTTCAACTGAGGTGATGGGAGCATATTTGAAGCAGGCTACATTGTGGGGACTTGCATCAACTTCAACTGACTCTCCTCCCAAAACCCTGGCTATGTTTTTTTTTTTTTATCTAAGTCTTGTTGGCAGCGAACACTCTCACACTTTTCATGTACAGCATGACCCTTCTCACCTGGAATACAACAAAGTTCCTCCACAATATCAGTAACCACTCTCAGAGAGCTTGTAAGTGTTTCACCCCTTTTCTCGTGTGATGAAATAGCATCTGGCAACTTCAAAAAGTAAGTAGCAATGAATGTCAGGTCATTGTGGATTGTCTTTTTCTGTAGGATATTCTTTACAACTCGAATTGAGGAAGCATCATCTCCATCAAAGCTATTCATAATTTTTTTTGAATTTGTCAAAATTGTTGCATAATAAAGTGCAGCCATCATCCATGTTCCCCACCTTGTCAGAACAGGCAGAGGTGGTAGTGAGAAATCGAGTGCAATTTCCTTGAACACCTGAATTTGAGATGGAGCCTTGAGAAATACCTTCTTTCCATTTGATGCCAACAAATCAATATCATGGAACAAAATGCATACTTCCAATGCAATTCTGTGGAGTGCATGTGCTAAGCAGGTCGCAAGAAGCATTTCAGGGAAAAGAGCTTTCAGAACTTTTGCTGCTTTTTTCATGTAAGGAGCAGCATTTGTGAGGAACAGGAGCACTCTTTCATGCTTGATTTCATCTGACCACAGTAGAGACAAGGCATTCATAAACATCTGGGCGATGGTTTAGCTGTTTGTTTTAGCAAATGCCTCAGATGTCAGTAGGTAGCTTTTTGAATGCTGTCCAAGCTCCATGGTTCCAATAATCACATTGGCAACATACCTTCCAACAGCATCATTCGTCTCGTCAATGGAGATCCAAATTCTTTTGTCACTCACTTCACGTATTTTCTGCACGATACTATCAAAGGTAGGGTTTACATAATTCTTTCTTAATGTAGCCTCACTTGGTACACTTTCCTTGGTGTATTGAAATCCCTTCAGAGATTTATTTTCCACCTTCCGCAATGGAACACCAGCATCGATGAAAGCGTTGCATAAGTCCATTGAAAACTGAGATTGTCGATTGGAAGCTGCTGTGTATGTTGAGGGAAGCCAGTCCTGATTTCACGAACCTACTGCTGCATTATACAATTGCGTTCTTACAGAGTACAGTCCACCTGTGGTCACAGTCGAGACACTACATCCCTAAATTATGATATCTTACCTTTAGCTGTGACCTTCATCTTTAACACAGTAAAGTTTGGTTTCCCCCTTTTCATATAGTGAGAGTTTGCCGACATATCTATGATGCTACAGAGTTATTCATGGGACAAGCTTTTGACTTTTAACCTTAAGCTGAGAACTTGATCTTTGTCAGTGAGCCATAAATTTGATTTTGATACAAGAGATGTACTTTGGGCAACGTTGCCCTTCAGCTGTTAACTTAATTTTTGAAAACAAAACAAGAATTATTTAATGTTTTCTGCACTTCATCTAGTGATGATACATATTCATGAAAAGTTTCACCATTATCTTAATTTCCACCCTTTAGTGTATCTTGCCTTCAGGAGCATTATTGTGATCTTTTACAAGTCCTGAGGAAAACCTGCACATCATGACTCCCCCTCCTCAAACACTCAACACCTTAACTTGTTTCCTTTCATCATAGTCTAAATACTGTACTGTACCCCTATTCTTATAGTATCCTATCTTTAACAATTTAAAATTTCGAAAATATGGATGAGAAAACTTCAAGAAAACAGGCTAGATCAACTAAATAAAGTCTGGAAACTTAGATTAATAATTATGGATAAAACAGGGCCTACTGTACTCATATTTCAATAATACATTTACCATTATCATATATACACTTGTACACTATTTCTAAATTAGTTTACCTTTTTATTAAGAATGTCATTTATCATGGTAAATGCAACAACTTGCTTGCTGCCATCTTCATCCTGTATTTGACCTCGTAGAGCAGGTTCCCACTCAAGCATTATTCGCAGCCACTCCTCCAACCGTGTTCTAAAATAATTGTGGTACTATTACAATAAAAAATATTACTAGTATAATTTAAAACAGTATACTGTACTATAATGCATAATAATATAGTGTATCAAATTAAAATAAGAAGCTCATTATACAGTACATGCATAGTGGTTTAACCATTTGGAGGCAGTCGAATGAAACATGAATACTGTACTAATAAACTGCCAAAGTGAGTTACTAATAAATCCATCTGCTGTTACTTCTGCCTAAAGGTTATGAAAAGAATGTGAAGTGAAGCTTCACAATCAAGGAGCATTTGTGTGGAAAGTTCAGGGTAAAGAGCCAAAACTTTCAGTGATTCCAAGTCTGTGAGAAACATGATTTGAATTTAAACTTACCTTAGAGGGGAGGAGATGTGTGATTCAGGAAACATATGAGAGGAAAACTGAACTTCCCCATTTCGGCTTTCGTATACACACACATGATGAGACTGTTTTGTTCGAACTCGCTTCATCCTGAGAAAAGGACCATTAAATAAATATTCTGAAATACTAACATGTTGCAACAAAACCTGAAATGAATACAAGCAATTTCTTATTATATACATGAACACATTTACAATAAATGTATCAGATTTAAAGCCAAAAAAGTTTTATTTAGCTTAAATGACTTGAGAGCTTTGCACCAACCTAAATCAATGTCCTCACCAGTACAAAACTTTAAATGAATGGATAAAATCACTGAGAGAAAAGGTAAACACTTAATGTCCTTTGTCACACATGATGGGGGCATGAATCCCGGATATACCTGAAGCAACTGCTCAGGAATGAAGTAGCTACGGCATCTGTACAGCATTCCAAGCTTTCGGGAGGCAGCTTTAGCAAAGTTGTGGATGCGTGGCTTCCATGACATATTAGAGGAAATGGTGAGGCCTAGCATATCTATTTAGAATTTGGCAGAATGATAGCATCCTGAAATGTGATTGGTGGGAGATCATCTAATGGAAAGTGTAAATGGTAAATACTGAGTTTTATTACTATTGAATTTAATCAAGTTTCTACCTCCCCATTCGGAGATGCTGCACAGATCCGCATTGATAGATGTAATGATATCAGCTCTAGAAACAGATCTAGTTTGAGAGTTAGGGGGAAGGGGAAAATGTGAAGAAGAGTGAAGAGTAGAATCATCAGCATAATAATGGATAGAATTAGTAGTAGTGTGAAGTAAATCATTGATAAAAATTAGGAAAAGAATAGGTTAAAGAAAAGACCCCTGTGGGACACCACTATTGGGAGAGAAAGAGTGAGAGTTCAATCCCTTGACAACAACTGCCATGGATCGGTTCTCAAGGAAGCTAGAAATTAGAGAACAAAGTGGGGGAGAGAAACCATAAGAGGGAAGTTTAGAAATGCTTTGGAGATGTCAAGGGCCACGACGAAAGTTTCCTCATAATCCGTAAGAGAGGATGACCAGAGATGGGTGCAGTAGGAGAGCAGATCACCAGTAGATCTCACCTGGCAAAAGCCATACTGGTGAGCCAACAAAAGAGAGTGTCATTCAAGGTGATGGAGAAAACTAGAGTTCAAGATAGTTTCAAAAATAGTTAGAGGGATTTGAGTGGTCACCCTTCTTTGGGATGGGCTGAACCAGGGCATGCTTCCAAGAAGAAGGAAAAGTTTAGGTTTTGAGGCAAAGGCAAAAGAGGCGAGCAAGTACAGGGGCCAGAATTTCAGCACACTCCCTCAGAATATGAGGGAGTATTCCGTCCGGTCTATGCGACTTACTCACATCCAACCTGGATAACACACCAGCAACCCTACGAGTGGAGATTATAGGAAAGTGCTTAAGGTTCAGCAGGAGGGATAGAGTTGGAATCGTCTAAGGTGGAGTTAGAGGAGAATAAGGTGCCAAAGAGATTGGCTTTATCAGAAGAGAGTTGGATATAGGGTTATCAGGTCGGAAGAGAAGAGGAAAAGAGGGAGTGCAGAAGTTATTACAGATGTTTTTGGTTAAGGATCAGAAGGATTTACTTGATGAAGAATTAGTCAGGACAGCGGTCTTTCTTTTTATAAAATTACACTTGGCCCTACGAAGAATAACCTTACAACGATTCCTAGAAGTAATGAAAGAGGAGTGGGTAATAGGAGGAAACGATAGTTTCATAGCTTGATATACCCTATCTCTCTCCCTCGATGTAAGAGTATAGGAGCGACCAAACCATGATTGTAAAGTAAAAGTTTTGGTAGAAGATGAGATAAAGGCACTCATACCACCCTGTATAACCCCAGCAATGCTGTCAGCAGACACCGAGGCAACCCGAGTGGAAAAGCAACATTCAACCCAAGGAAAGTTGGTGAAGAATTCTCGCAAGGATTGCCAGTTTGCCCTCCAATAATGCCATAGTTGACGTTTAGAAGGGGGTAGGGGAGGTGGTCGTGCCTAGTCTGATTTAATAGAAAGAAGATTGTGATCAGAAGACCCTAAGGGGGCAGAAATTGAGTATGAATAGTGTGAGGAGTTAGAGGTAAAACAAAGATCAAGAATGTTAGCAAGTTGATCGTGTCGATCAGGAACGCGTGTAGGGTGTTTAATTATTTTTTCCAGGTCATTAAGTAAGGAAAAAGAGAGTGCCTCAGCTCCACCTGGGTCATCCCTTGCAGAGCCAAGCCACTCTCTGTGATGTATGTTGAAATCCCCGAGGTGGAGGATCTCGGTGTTGGGTGTGTGTGGATAGCAACGACTCATGGCAAGAAGTTAGATAGTCAGAGTTCTAAATAGTTGGTTGAATTGGGAGAACAGTATAGGAAACAAAGGAAAATAGTCAAAGTTAATAGAAATATTTTGAGCCAGATGACATCAAGATCCGTGAATCGAGCTATAGGTGTACGTGTGCTGCGATAGGCGCATACACCTCCCTTAGAACGGAAAGAGGTATAAAAGTTGTAGTTGGAGACTTGAAAAGGTTTGGGTGAAGCTGCTTTGGTCAGTTGAAGTTCAGAGAGTAGTAAGAGGTCAATAGATGGTGCTCCACAGAAGGAAAATTGGATCTCAGGCCACAAATGTTGAAAATATGAAGTGTGAAAAAAGTCAATTCCCCAGCAACCACGGTGACATCAGTTGAGGCCCCAGTAGTTTGATGATGATCAGGTCAGCCCTGGGGTCCACAACCTTCCTGACCAGTGGGACCTATCCGAGAAGGCCCCACTTTAATATTATTGTCAACTGACATCATAGGAGAATAAAATAGAAAGTATAGAACAGATCAAGAGTGAGTACGGTTACAATTGTTGTGTTGTCAATAGTAAGAGACAATTGAGACCCTGCAATTGTGTGTAAATGTGGCAGAAAGTCAGATCAGCAACCTGGGACTTGGTCACAATTTTTGTGATGCCATATGGTAGTAGGGTCTACCATTAGACAACACATTATGCTCCCAATATCTTCTCAGGCGGTAGTACCTCCCTGTTTGGTAGCTGCCTACTACCTAACAGTAAAAAAAAAAAAATAAATAAAATAAATCATTATATACCCGATATTACAAGTTGAAAAATAACCATAAAATAACTCCTACCCTAGCCTGGTAGGGAGAGTGCTAGAGGGATGTGACTACCCCAGCTGACTCCCAGGGGCACGTGATAAGAATTTTTTGCCAGGAACCAAATTGGTAGAAGCGGGGAAAGCTTTCGTAACATAAAATAGTGGTGTCAATTTAGGAAATTCGTATAAGCAAATCTTCGTACCTCAAACATTCCTATCTCAAAGGATACCTGTATTTGGCTAATGCCATACAATTTTATTCAGCTCAGGCGATCCCGTATACAAGGGGTTAGAAGATTATCTTCACTAACCCCTAACTATGGAGACACCACTTTTTATTTTTTATTTGGCTTATGCCAGACAAATTTACTCAGCTGAAAGGTACCCCCGTACACAGGGGTTAAAGAAAGACTTATTATACTGTACATGTATGCAGAAAGGGATAAAAATGCTAATGATTTTTTACAACTCACCATTCAACAGGAGTCATATTTGGCAGAAATGGTCTGATACCTGTGATGATCTCATGAGTCACTAGACCCAAGCTCCAGTAATCAACTGTGCAGGTATATCTCTTGCTGAGGAATAACTCAGGAGCCAGGTACTGGAGGGTGCCCACGAATGATGTACAAACACTACTTTGGTCCAATTCTTTAGCATAACCAAGATCAATAAGTTTGTGCACTGTCTGAAAATGCAAAATTAATAAATGTACATTTCTAATCAAAATAGTCATTCATATATTAAATCTCACTCTATAAATTCTTCCACCAGGAGGATAACTAAGGTGGCCATCTTTAATAATAAATCCCTCAATTATCTCTGATAACCTTTTGTATAGTATCCATGTTCACCTACAGTATTTTGTCTTTCCCCCTAATGAACACTGAAATGAAACTTACTGGGAAAAAAAAATGGTTGTAAAGTCTCCCAAGCTGTCATAGTGGTACACTACATATTACAGTATTCCTATATACAATAATAAAAAAATTTTGAATTGGAAATCTCATTAAAATTTCATTATCAGTGTGGACAGAGAGAGAGATGTACAGTAGAGGTGAGCAGGTATCGAGGAGCCAATATTTTTTATATTTATTTTTAATCTAATATTACTACAGTACTTTTGTTACTTATAAGAATTACACATATAATAAAAATGAAAGTATTATATTTATGTTGAGGTGATCAGCAAAAAGCAGTGCCACTTTTTTGCAACTTTGTCACAGCCCCTGAAATGTTCTGTGCACAGCAAACACCACTTTCTTACACTGAATAGAAAAGAATTTCATTAGCACATATAAAGGGGAAAATCATAATTATTCAATTTACTAAGAAGTGCACTCTGCTCACAAACCTTGCCATCTACATCTTGGAGGACAATATTCTCTGGCTTTAAGTCTCTGTGGATTATCCTCATGGAGTGTAAGTATGCCACTGCTTCTGTTATGTCTCGTATACATGCCCGGACAGCTGCTTCACGCAGACCACAACAGTTTTCTGGTTTGTTTAATACCTGGAAAGATATATCCATCTAAATCTGATGCACATACACAAAAATTGCATCTTTTATCTAGCTTTACCATGCACACATTTTGCAGTACTGTAAAGTGGAAGACCATGGTATTCTTCCCCAATCACCCTAGCAATAAGAAAATTCTCTTATCACTTTCCCATTATGTTATGCCACAGCCACGAGTAAATATATTTAAGGTAAGCAAAAAAAGTGTATAAACATTTATCCACAGCATCCATTCTAATTTCTGTATGTTAGAAATATGAATTTGGTATCAAATAGATCCTGAATAAATTCTCTACAAGATTGTTTCAATAAAAGATCCTTAAACAAAATATTTTGCCCTGACACAATGATAGGAACTCAATTTTGTTATGAAAAAATGTAAGAAATGCTTATACCAATCTATAAAATCAGTTCTAATTTAGTTAGAAACACTTTTTTTTACCACCAAAACAATCCTGAATAGTTTATCTACAAGTTTGTTTAAATAAATATACAACATAAAAAACAAAACAAAAATCTATATATTATGGAGGTATTTTTGGGGCGCGAGGTTTGAATGGAGCAGTGTCACAGCCAAGACAGTACACACTGCTGCCAGGTGTATGAGAGCTCCCAGCAACACCAGCTGCTCAGTGACTCGCTGAGTCCAGCTGTTACGCTGTACAGAAAGTCAACGCCAAGCTGCCAAGAGCACATGACGGACCAAGGAAAACTTATTTTTTTTCCACAGATGTTAAAACCCTAAGCAGCTAAAAAAAAAAGTTCATCTGGCATATAAAACCCCAGAATGTTAAATCTAGGCTAAAAATTGCAGTAGGTTTTTTTTTTATGGAGCTTGACTCAGTAATCCCCCACCCTCTGGAATTTTCCACCCTGCTATTTAACCAATACAGATCCCACCCAACCTGGAATTTCAGCCAAACCTGATAGGCCTTCCCCCAACTGGTCTGGATTAGAGGGAATTTACTGTACATGTCATTGTCATTCTTTAAATGAATGGTTAATGAAGTCAAGTAGGCAGAAAAACAAGATCAGAAATGAGCAGAAAACTGCAAGATGCTTTGAGGAAATTCAGTTGAGGATGAAATAAAAAAGCTGAGGGTGAATACATATCAAAAGTACAGTATAATGGCAGTAATTTTAAGAGGATAATCAGGGTGTAAAATTTTAATGCAAGACAAGAACCTGCAAAGGGTCCAATGCCAGGGTGGAAGAATGAATACTGTGAGATAACGAGAAAGTTCTGAAAGGCAGAGTGAGTGCCAGGGGCCGTGAAGATAGTGAAGATGAAGATGAGAAAAAGATTTATGGCAAGTCATGTCACACAGTAGATTTGCCTACTATGAACAATGGAAATGAACCACAACAGAAATTCTCTGACAATGGCATCAAAGTGAGAAGAATGAACAGGGTAAAGAATAAGGTTGTAAGAATAAATGACACTAAGAAAGGGTCGAGTCATCATCATCATCTTGTGTGCATTTTCCACACTTGTTTAGGCTAGCCGTGACAGCCTGATGCAGAAGTATAGTGAAGATTTTTTGATGGAAGATGGTGGCAAAGGCCTGAATTTTCCAACATGTGGGCCTGACAAAGATACTGTACTGCTCATCAATAATCTAATTAATCAAGCATAACAGTTTACTGGTAATACAAAGAATCTATTAGTACGAGGAACCTATGATACTAAACCTGCATCAATAGTGTTATACAAAACCAGAACAAATACATTACCATTTAGTGAAAGAAAATGATTCACAAAGGTGCTACAACAAACGAGAAAATTTGAAGATTTTTATATATTATTATTCCCATATATTTAAAACATGCACTGTATTAATCAGTTGGAACTCCTCTTTTCATTACAAATACAATTGAAATAGAAAAGACAAAATAAACATTATTCAAATTTTGGAGAAAAAATAAGAGTAAGAAACAAAAAGAACTTAATCAATCTGAGTTGCCCAGTGCACATCATAACCAATACCATATTAACTTATTGGATTACTATTACTGTTCACTATTCACAAAACTATATTGACAAAGTTTTTAAATAATTTCCCTTTTTCCCTTCAGAAAAGGCTGTTGAAGTTCCCTTATAGACAGGTTTGCAACAACTTCATGATTACCAGTAATTGAGATACAAGCCAAATTTGGCAGTTGATATTCAATTATTGTGCTCTGTAAGTAGGTCTTGACTCTCTTTAAACAGTTGAAAGCTCTCTCACCATAAACTGAAGCAGGATGCAAGGACAATGCAATCACAAACAGCGTAACAATGTTATCAAATTGGCCTTTCATCTCATATTCGATGGTCAGAAGATCCTCATGATCCATTGAAACAGCCTTTCCTTCACCAAATTCCATTCAGCAGTACATGCTAAATTTTGTACTTGTGTTCCAGTATCTCAATTGAGGGAACCTCCTTTGTGTATGAATTCACAAAGCATCTTCAGTTTCTCTTAACTTATCATCATTGGAGCATCATTACTGTCATGAATGAGAGGTATTGGTACAATACATCTGAGTGCCTTGGGTGTGCCATCTGTGGTACAGTAAAATCTTGTTTTGATAGCAGTGAAGACAGTGTCCAACATGGTCTGTAGAATTTCTACTCTTAAATAATTTCTTTGAATTTGTTACAGGCTAGTCATTGGCCACTTCATTAGAGAAAGTTTTCTTCCTGAAATTCTTATCTCTTCAATAAATTTAGCAGGAGTACCAATCAAGTGAGCTGCATCGATTTAGGATGGTTTCAAAATGTTCTCCACCACTATATATCCTTGAATCATAAAGCATGAAACACTGATGTTCAAGAAAGGGCCTAGGACCTTTTCAGTGGCAGCCTCCATGATATGGTAGTAAGGGCATCAACTTGCCTTACAGGGTTGATAAACCAGATCATTACATGCAGTAGGTCTTTCACTCACACATCAAATTTGTCAATAAAATTTTTGGAGGCTTAGTGGGGGAAAGTGGGAGATTGTTCCCACCCCCTCTAGCTATGTCACTGGCCCGATGGCAGTTCTCCAAGCTGTGGTGTAAGCATGTAAAATTACAAAGACTACGAACATAGGAAGTGAAAAGGAGGGTATGAGGCAGGCTAACAATGAGTTGGATATATAAATCAAGGGGTATTATACATAGTTTACAGTTTTGTAAGGAAAAGAATATACTTTGAGGACTCTACAGTCTACACAGACCTACCTGCTGATGGGCAATTCCGCATGGGAGAGAAAATATTGAAAAAATTATAAATTAAAGCAAGAGAAATGAATTTATATGACTCTACATCAGAATTTAATGGAGTACCCAAATTGTAAAATAATAAGTAAAAAATAAGGAAAGCAGAGAAAATGAAAATTGCACAGTATTACGTTACTGTACTGTATTTAAGATACTGTGAGCAGTAAACCTCTAACAGAACGTTTTTCTATGCCTTGACAGCTAAAGTACCATAGATTAATATTTTTCTGTATGGAATGAAGTTTGAAATACCAATAAAGCATGTACTGTAGTGTACAATAATTCCATAAAAAAAAAATACTCTTGGCACAGCCAAAACATATCTATGCAAAGTTTAGGAAGGTACAGAAACCTTTGTTTTTCCTTAAAGGTGATTTCATAGGAAGTCTTGCAACTATTCTTGTGCATAGAATATGCTTACACTTAGTGGAGATAGTAACCTAGATTCAGAAAAAAATTGGATTTTTCAGTTTTGCCAACCTTGCTGCTTACACTGAAAATCCAACCTGAAGAAGTCAGTTATCAGGTCCTTTGATGGGCTCTATGTTTCCTATAGAGGCAGTCCTCATTGTTTATCACCCAGTAGTTAATTTCTTTCATTAATTCATTGTTTGAAAACTTAATCAATAATTAGATTATAATTTTAAAATTTCCTATCTTTCTCAGGCTAGTTTGTCCAATTGTACGACAGTTACAACAATTCTGTCATCTAGCGTATGATATTTCATCACACAACGTTCAATTCGTCAACTGATCAATCTTATTGTTAAATTATATTCAACTAAACTTAATTACAGATCCTACTGTATTCTGCATTAAAGTAATATATAAATATCTTTGCTACTTAAAGAGTACTGTAAATTATTAAACTTATTTTTTCAAACACTATGGAATCGGATGTTTTGCTGTTTCAAACAAGTATTCCATGGTTTCTGCAACCCCAGCTGTGCATCATGCTGAGCTTGCATTTTAATTTGCTTTAAAGTGCCCTCCATTTTGATATTATAGCCCTGAAGCATTCAGTTAGTGATGGTGCTAAACCAGTACATGTGTCAGTCTCAAGACCATTGGTCGTGATGTTATGTAAAATTCATTGAATTTCTTAGCAACACGGCGTTCTCGTTATCCGAGCTTACCAGGAACCACAAGAGACTTAGATAGTGATTCCATAAAGGGGAATTAATTCCCATAAGAATTAATAGGAATAAGGTCTAAATGGAATCATCACATTGTAAATGACACTTAAAAATATTAATTTGATATGTTTAACAGTTATATGCCTTAGAAACATTTGAATACACAATACTGTATTGTATTAAATTATTTAACTTATTTAAGATACTTTAAAGTAGTTTGAGGTCGGTGTGTTGAAGCCAACTGCGCAACCACACACTCTCAAATTCATTTCAGTGAAAGTGGTTTACTGAGACACATTATAAAAATCAAATAAAAACTAATATCAAAATAAAAAATAAATAATGAGGAATAATATCCATGGAGATAGCATGTACGTACTGTAACTGCATAGCCGAGTCGCCAATCGCCACCCAGTAGCACTCAGAGCAGGTGAGGCTGAGCTATGTTATTTTTTAAATCGTATTTTCAGGTAGATATACGTACATGAGTTTCTTCATTTTCTTTTACTCTGTTATATGCACACACAATCATTCAAACAGAATGTGGAAAAAAAAAATATCATAACTTTCAAAAACATAGAAGTAATAATCATTTCTTTTAATTATGGTTGGCAGTTAGCCCACAGCGGGAAATGGGGAGCGGTGTGGGGGATCTCTCAGCTGTTCTCTGTCTCATATCCTATGAATTGATTGCCAAATGGCATAATAATATTGGATTGCACTTCTGCACTATTTTTTTTGCAAATATACAAAACAGGAGAAAAGAAGAAGATTCAAGTAGAGTGCTTGTTCTCCATACCAGTACTTGTATCACTCCAAGAACTTTGTCAATACAAATGCTGTACAACAAACTTTATTGTTGGAATAATTAACCAATGAGACAGGAAGACTACTGTGCTGCCAAAGTTTTAGATAATGATAAATATGCAGTCTAAAAAAAAAAAAATAGGTATTGGGGTCAATTCATATAAATTTTAAGGGTAGGCAAAATGACAAGCTCAAGTACAGTAGTCTCAATACCTTGCGAAGATCGCCTCCACTGCAGTACTCCATACAAAGCATTGGCAGGTCACCAGGAGGACCCATTAGTTCAGGTAGCACTTGGAAACATTTGACAACTGCTTGATGATCAAGACGATTCATGATCTCTACTTCCTTTTCCCAACGTTCAACATGTTTTGGTGTTAAAATATTTTCTGTGCCAGTACCTGGAGTGCCCCACCGACACTTTTTCAGAGCTGTGAAAATGCAAAGAAAGTTAAATGCTTTATACAGTACTGTACTTTATTTATACAGGTACAGTACTACAGTATTACAAATATACAAATACAATACTGTACTGTATATAGGCATTCCCCGAGCTATGAATGGGTTACATTCCTGGACCCTGTTTGTAAGTTGATCTGTTCTTAATTCAAAACCATGCTAATTCCATAGTTTAGGTAAGGTAAGTTAAAGCAAAACAACAATAACATCCCATACACAACAAATAATGTAAATATTGTAAATAAAGTGGTTAAATAATATACATTAATTAAAATAATGTAAAAAATTGGATTTTAAATACAAATTTTTGCAATGGATGTGTTTGTAAGTGCGGGTGTTTGTAAGTCAGGCGTTCATAACTTGGAGACTGCCTGTATAGTACAGTACAAACATTATTTTTTTCTTTTACAATTATATTAGTACTAAACAGTATTGTATATACTGTATATGAAGCTTAATTACCTACATGGAATAACATAAACAAATGAGCCAATACTATAAGGTTATAGTAGTAGCTAGGCACTTATCTTTCTCACCGAGGGGAACTGGTATACTCCAAGTATTACCAACTTATTGAGCTAAAGCTTAAAGCAACAGCCTTGTTTTTACTAAGGAGGCTGACACCCCATAGTATGAGGCTAATCACATAATTTGTGAAATGTGGGCTAAGAGGCCTTATGGTGGGTACAATGCAATGCCATATTTTTTATGTTCTAATTATCTGTTGCAGACATCCATTGAACCCTTACCTACATTAAAAGAGACAATATCTTACAAAATCTTTCTCATATCAAGTATCCAATGTCTATTTGTACACACTTTGACATTAAAGACCCAATTATAATTGTCTGAAAGTTTAGCTCGTCACTTAAAAAGTTACTCTGGCGTGCATAACAGCCAAACTGTCTGTTTTCTTCATGGTTTGCTGAACTAGAGATACTTTTAAGCTTAGTAATCAGAAAAAAGGTAATATATTCTTACCAATTGTTTCCCCTGTATCATTGTGGCGCCACAAAGTCACCGTCCCAAACCCGCCAGTGCCAAGTACTTTATCTTTGAGCCAGGGGTGTGTTGGTGATTTTTCTTCTGCTGCAGCCATTGCTCTGTAATAAAAAAGTCTTGAATTACAAGAGAACATCGGTAATCTTGAGGAATCCAGATAGTAAAAGTTATCTGAAATGAATTATATAAGGGTATAAAAGCAAGAAAAGTCTTCCTCTATTCATCTTTGAGAAGGGAATATGGAAAAAATATGAACAAGTTAAGACATTCAGAAATCAATGATCAAAATATACAGAGGAGAAAAATTTGTCTTGTGGTCATTTATGGTTGGGTGACTGGAAAGGTCATTGTCTTAAGTCGAATGAACACCATCTATTTGTCTCAGACAAAAGTTTCCTTGGCATAAAAAAGAAAATGAGGAGAAAACAAAGTGGCTATTATCATGTTCTTTTACGTCAATATAGTTGTCGTAAATATGTGGTACAGTAAGTGTGTGTGTGTATATATATATATATATATATATATATATATATATATATATATATATATATATATATATATATATATATATATATATATATATATAATAATAAAATATATCCCAAGCGCTTTCGTATAATTCACATCTTCAGGGGCGAGTACAGACTAAGGAGAAGTACAAAACAAGGTGTATATATACAAAGGAGGGTGAGATCAGGTCCACAATGGTCAGGTATTAGGTAATGACCCTACTAATCTTTAAAAAGCACCGCAACAGTCGGTAGTCAGGTCAGAGGGTAAGGTGACCCAACCTTCTCACCTGGTTACAAATCTTCTTAATTACAAAATTGGCCAGTTTGTACATGCCATTACTCAAATTCATGTTGACTGCTTCGGTATGTTTAATGAGACTAGATTCTATAATATTCCTACTGTCAATTGAATTACAAGGTAATATTGAGGAGGCATTACCCCAGTCAATGCAATGCTTATTATCCCTCAGATGAACAAACAGAGCATTGGATTCCTGGCCTGTCCTAACACTATATTTATGTTGTTTAAGTCTAGTGACAAGATCTTTACCTGTCTGGCCTAAGTAAAACATATTACATTCCTTGCAAGGAACTTTATAAATGCAACCAATTGTGTTGTTGGGGGGAGTTCTTGATTAACATTTGTTTAACAGTGCATGAATTTTTAAATGCCACATTGACGTTCCAGGTTTTTAGTTGTAAAGGAAAATGAGATAAATTTTTGTGAAATGGTAATACTAAGAGATTCTTATGGTCATGGGTGGGCTTGGGATCAGTTCTGTAAAAATGTTTCTTAGTAATGTTCAGGCATTTGTCTATGAAAGATCTAGGGCTGCAAATTCTCAAAGCACATAAAAACATTGTTGAAAATACTGACTGTTTGACTCTATTATGGTGGGCAGTAGGGTCATTACCTAATACCTGACCATTGTGGACCTGATCTCACCCTCCTCTGTATATATACACCTTGTTTTGTACTTCTCTTTAGTCTGTACTCACCCCTGAAGATGTGAAATACACGAAAGCGCTTGACGAACTTCGTGTTTTCTTCTATCCTTGTGGTTATCAGCATATACCTAGATCACGCGCACCTACAGTGATTTACTTGCATATATATATATATATATATATATATATATATATATATATATATATATATATATATATATATATATATATATATATATGATCCAGTAGACATGCTTGAAAATAGTACAGTCTGCATAATACAGTATATTTGGTTAATGACCATTGAGAACTTTATCATTCAACTATGGGGATGGGTTGCCATATGAGAACAGGCATAAATAACAGGAAGCGAGAATATAACTATGACTACAAATACAGCTCCTCCTCGACTTACGATGGGGATAGGGACCCAAATCCAGGTCGTAAGTCGAAAATGCAAAGATAATACATAGAAAATCTAAAATGGGTGTCTCTTTTTCTTCTCAGCACCAAAAAACTCTCACTTTTAAGCATGCCAGCCATTTTAAAGGAAATTACAAGTGAGAATTTTGTCAGTACACAGCGCAATCACTAATGTCGGGACTCGAAAATACGTAATTTGAAAAAAATTTGGTACGACTGGGGCAGTCGTATGTCCGGGTTGTCGTAAGTCGAGTAGGTCATAAGTCGAGGAGTAGCTGTATATGTTTCCTTATACTATTTATATTTATTTTAAAGGCTGCTCCACAGACATCCTGCACGAAACATAAATCAAGAGACCCATTCCCCAATTATGTAATTGTATATTTTCAGCCTTCTGGCTGCCATGCTCTTTCAATAAACTGTTAATTATTATTATTATTATTATTATAAATCATATTCATCCTCTCAAGTTCTACACATTTAACATGCTTTGGGACATGTCACATCTGAAAGTGTTTCGAACTCTACCTTTCAGATGTGGCAAAGTTCACCCTTCTATAGGTAATAAGTATAGTTGAATATTGCATATTTGTTGCCATAAAGTTAGGTAACCTTACCTAATCTAACTATTTTTAGTTAGGTTAGGTTTGGACGTGGTCTGTTAGGTCAGGAAACCAAACCTTAAAAAAAGTTAGGTTAGGTTACCTGACCTAACATGCCACCTCCTAACCTAACTAAAAAAAGGTGATTTGCCCAAAGACAAAAGTCAGAATCCTCTAAAACAGCAAGAAAACTTGCAAAAAAATATATTTTTCATGTGAAAAAAGGTGATGGGTGGTTAACAAAACGAGAGCAACGCTGAGTGTCACCATAACATCAAATTGGGACTTGGAAAATTCGTGATTTTTACAAGTAATAAATCGCGATCATTTTGTAAGATGAATTCCTGCTATCCTTAGCGCTGTTTAGCGGTACTTACTTAACAAACAACTATTTGTTCAGTAAAAGTTTGCTAGTTAAGCTTTGTATATAACTTTTAAACTTTTAAGCGTAATTTTACGTTTTTTGTGTACGTGAGAGCAGCCGCCAGGCTGATGTGCGACTCATAAAGTATACTGAGCAGAGGCCTCGATAGGAGCGCTGCACAGGGGAATGTTTTGAAATACGTCAATATGATCGGCTGTTTACATCCAGGGATGAGGCGTCACCACAGCATTACCACCAAGAAGACAAAATAGTGCGCGCCTAGGCGCTTAATTATCTACCAAACGAAGAATTTGCACAAGAAACAATTATCATATCCTATAGTACTGTATATAAACTGTATTACAAAACATGACAGGAATTGTACCTGGTAACTCATGTACAGTAGGTCCTCGCTTAACGTTGTCCCGCTTAACGTTGTTTCGGTACTACGTCACTGAACTTTAGAGACCAAAAATTTTTTTATCATCCCAGTGATCGTTTTGCGTCGTCACGGACTACTTTCTACAGCGCATCACCCGCTCTTGTCTGGCCACGCTACGCTCACTTGGCTCGGTGTGCTGCCCTCACTCGCGGAACGTCACAGCGTCCCCAAGCGACGCCAAGCCAGTCTCTGTTACGACTTCACATCAATCGTGCATTCTTTTAGTGTTTTTGCTCTAAAACTACTTTAACCATTCGAAATGGCCTCCAAGCACCCATCAAGTGCTACTGATGCTAGTGTAGTGAAGAGACATACGTAAGACCATTGCCCTTGCTACGAAAATGGATGTATTAACCCGATTTGAAAAAGGGGAACGTGCTGTGGACATAGCCACTGTGCTTGGTCTAACCCCCACAACAGTGCCAACTATCCGGACCAACGCTGACAAGATTAAGGTTAGTACTGGAAGTGGTTCTTCTCTGAGTGCTACTAAGACGACCTGTACTAGAAGCACTGTGATAGAGAAGGTGGAAAAGATGCTGGCAATGTGGATGGAGGACCAGAATGTACGCCGTCCCTGCACTGAAGGAATACTGTGCCAAGGAGAACCTAAACTTCAAAATTCTTCTGATCCTTGACAATGCTCCAGCTCATCCTCCCAATCTCGACGACTTGCATGACAGTGTAAAAGTTGTATTCCTGCCTCCCAACACGACAGCACCAATGCAGCCTATGGACCAAGGCGTCATTGCGGCATTCAAGGCAAATTAAATTATTTGCAGTACCATGGCCCAGCTGCTCAAGGCTACAGACGGAGAAAATAAACCATTGATCCAAGAATATTGGCGCGGCTTCAACATTCTTCATGCAACTGACAATATTGGCAAGGCATGGAAAGAGGATTCTGAAACTTGCCTGAATGGTGTGTGGTGTGTGGCATTGAGGACAGTCTTGGTTGCTACACCACGATCTATAAGGAGAAGAAGATGAGTAGCACCAAGCAGTCAACACCGGATTAATTTTTTCGCCGTGGGACGGCAGGAGTTTCTTCACAACAGCCGGCAGCCGAGGAGGAGCAAACAACAACTGAGGAGGATCAACCAGCAGCGGAGGAACCCCAGTCAGAGCAGGAGAAGGAGGAAGCAACCGCAGAATCTCAGTGACTCACCACCCTCCTCCGCTCTCACCCTCCTCCTCCTTGGCTCCACTACCCACCACACACTCACTCTACTACCACCCACCTGTGAGTACCAATACAAACTTAGTACTGCAGTTCTATATACTATTCTCTATAGAAATGGCAATAATTTTCTGTACAGATGTATATTTAACTTTTTTCAGGGGGCAAAGGAAGGCTCAGGAACGTAACTCCCATATTTTATCTATTTCTTGTGGGGAAAATTGATCCGCTTAACGTCACGTTTTCAAGAACGTAACCCCGACGTTAAGCGAGGACACCCTGTATTATCATGTATGTAGTGGATACAGGTACGGTGGTAGGATGCCAAAAATCACACTGGATATATAGGTACGACAGCCATGTTGACAGAGTGTTGTTAATCCTTTGAGTCCTGAAGGGTTAAATAATTGTCCTTAAAGCGTTAAATCATCATCATCAAAGGGTTAAATCATCATCGTCAAAGGGTTAAATCATCATTGTCAAAGGGTTAAATCATCATTGTCAAAGGGTTAAATCATCATCGTCACAGGGTTAAATCATCGTTATCAAAAGTTTAAACCAAAGTCTTCAAAGGGTTAAGCCATAGTCAGAAAGAAGGTCATCTTAGTATCTTATCAATTGTATATTCCGCCCACCATGCTGGGCATTAGGCTGCAGTACAAATAGACATGGACGTTTCGCATACAGCTGCCATACCTATATCCTGTGCCTATCATATAATGAGAGCAGGGCTACAAATATGAGCCAGAACTTGAGGCCTCTTGTCACTATTCTTCATTCATTGTTTCATATTGTTTGACAGTGAAAAGATGTGGATACTTTTGTTGGTGGATGTACCTGTTAAACCAATATTAAGTTGCATGGCGATTTTTAATGAATAAATACCCATCTCTCTCCATAAACCTGGCAGAATTGCTACTGACCCAAACAACTTATTCTTCATAATGCAGCTAAACTACAAATGCATTATAGTTTAAATTTACATATAAAACAAGGCAGTACGAAGCAAATATGAAACCAACACCCATAAATAGTACAATACACATTATCCATAATTAAAATACTACATACCCTGAATCAAGATGGCTCAGGCAGTAAATAAATCAAGCACGAAACAAAAATAGAAATGATATACGAGTTTTATTGAGAAACACAAAATTCTAGACACATTGATACATAATAGAGTCACATCACACATACCTCACTTCATGAAGGAATAGATGCAGTTATGGCAAGGCAGGATGGGGTATGTTTCCTGCTCTTGTTGTGACGTGAGAGTCTTCTGTTTCTCGGGATTTTCCCTCAATGTGCGCACTGAAATAACCTGTAACACCACTAGCACCCTGGCCTCTGTGAAGCTGTTAGTCCACATCTAAACATTATGACAAGAGATGTTAAGTTATATTATCAATATTTTATTTTTATTTTTAGAAATAACCCATCAAGAAATATGAAAGTTTAATGTAATTTTCTTTAAACTGCAATTAGGAAATTAATGTCTAGCGATATATATATATATATAAAATAAAAGCTCAAATTAGAAGGCCAACAAGTGGTGAAGAGGATAGGCAAAACCAAATGTGAGTTTAAAATAAAGTACTGTCATTTTATTTATTTTTTACCAGTTATCAGCTCACTAAGCGTTAGGACGATTTATCTGTTATTTTCAATTATGTTATGAGCTCCATTGTTCAGTGTTAGCAGAGGAGGATACCTGAGTACCCAGAGAAAAACTGCGATGTACTGTATTGTCTGCTTACAGTGGATAACACCCTTCTCACATCTTTCCCAGGCCGGAAATCGAACTCGGGACATGTTGTGAGAGGCACGCGTGTTATCGGTGTAAAGATGTGGATACCATTTGAGTGTACAACTACCTAATAAAGATGGCACCGGTTTACTCATGAAGCTTGTGTACCATAGGGATATAAGTATATTTCTGATTATGTAACATGTACATTTTTACTTGTACTACATAATTATATTGTACAGTATATACGTCTACCATAGTTGCTCAAACGGATGTTGTTTCGTCACTTTGTAGTGTCAAGGTTTCGACTTCCTTCCATTGGCTGGTAACAGGCAGTCGTTGCCACATACCCTTTTCACGCCACCTACCTAAGCTCTTAATACCAGCCAAGGTCTATGTGGTCTTGATACCAGCAGATGTCATTCTCCGATCGTAGTTACTTCACGGCGGATTGCCGGCATAAAAGGAACTTAAACGATGAGCAGCGGCTAGAGTGCACGTCCTCCCGAGACCCTGTATAGCAAACCCCAGAACACAGACTTATTTTTCAACACCAAGCGTTTGACTTCCCTCGAAAGACTTCCCAGGGTACAAGGAATAAAGAAAGTACAGTCAAAAGAGAGAGAGAACTGTACTGTATCTACAAAGTCTACCAGGTTGCATGGGGCCAAGGATCATATATTAATGTTTATAGTCCTTGGCTTGGGACTACCAGACAGTTATACAAACTATCCAGTATACGACTAGTCATATTTCTACACCTACACACCCAACAGGAATACTTATATTTTCAGGTGGGTTAATGAGCCGAATCTTCTGGTGGGAACTGAAGTCCACCGTTACATGATGATCGAGCACACTAAAGAGCGACACTTCAGGTGACTACTACTTACTTTTTTACTTTTACTGTTATCCTCTTCACCACTGATCGGCTCGTTAGCCGCTTGGGCGATCGGTCACGTCTCTGTTACGCACTGTTGGCAAGTACTAGGCATGCACTGGCTCCTGAATGTATCTGAACCTGTTCCAGTGTTGGTCAAGTCTGGTCTTGAAAGAGCTCCCACTTGGTGCCGTCACAACACTCTCTGGTAGATTGTTCCAAGAGTTCACAACTCTCACTCCGAAAAAGTTATTCCTCACAATTTTCTGGGCTTGCGTTTTCTTCAACCTTGAGCTGTGACCCCTTGTGGGGCGAGCGTCCGCCAGTTCCAGGTAAGGACACTCGACCGAGTAGTGACCTTTGGCATGTTTATAAACCTCAATTAGGTCTCCCCTTGCCCGTCTGTAGTATAAGCTAGGCAATTGCAGGCGCGCTAATCTCTCAGGGTAGCTGAGGTGCCGAAGTGCAGGCACCAGTCTGGTGGCCCTCCTTTGGACATTTTCAATCAACTGACAGTCCCTGAGGTCCATCACCACGACAATTTTATTAAGAGACCTGCTTCCTTATTATTCATTCAGACAGTAGATCATGGTCCATGTACCTTCCAGATTGTCGTGCTACCTCTGCTGTGCGAGGATCCCTTGCCATTTATTAATTGGCCGAAACAACATGGACTCATAAAGCAGTGTCTTAACCTTGGTTCACAGGGTGGCCCAGTCTTTGGCCAGCCGCTTCTACCGCATTTTTGGGATGTCTAATGGCAATATATTTACTTGGTGATTTGCCTTCACAAATTAACTCGCTTTGTTGGTATTTTTGGCCCACTGTTGGCTACTCTACACAGAACAGATTAAAAAAAAATTCGAGGTGGCCCCACCTTGCTTGGTCACAAGTTCAAACAATTATCTGGACACAGAATTTGGGAGTGAGAGTTGCGAACTCTTGGATTAACTTGCCAGAAAGAGTTGTGACGGCCCTGAGTGTAAACTCATTTTAGACCAGACTTGATCTACATGGGCGCAGGTTCAGATACATTCTGGAGCCGGTACATGCCAAGTACCTGCCAACACTGCCCAACAGAGACGTGCCCGACCGACCACCATAAATTCACAACATCTCCCACAAAGCCTACACGCAATATTTGGCCTATACATCTCCTAATTCCTCTACCTGCCCTATGCTTTTATATTAATACTGTACTATTAATTACCTTACTATACAATGTTACCATATACAGTATACTCTCCTAGGTATATGTAGTCCTCTACACTGATTCTACCGAAGTTTCTGACTCGTCCCAACTACAGTCCCTTCCCCTTGTACAAGAGTGCCCATCATCCCTTCAACCATTCATCAGGTGCAATACTTCCCTTGCCTTCCAGAGTGCCTAGAAAATGGCGGAAATGGTGGTGGTGATGATAATGATGATAAAGATGTTTTAAGAGTATGTACACTCACTTTCAGGGAAGACCCCCCCATATTTACAGGCAAGTTAGGGATAAGTGGCTCCCACATTTACAGAAAAGAAGAAAATACATACAACTAAAATTAAAAAAAGCACAATAGGGGAAGGAATCAAGGATTTTATCCCATAACAGTAATGAATCTTTAAACGTAACCAAAAGGACAGCTGGAGTGACTTGTAATTTGTGAGATGCTGGTACAACTACTCTATTTAACCCCTTGTAAGAAAAATGTGAAGAAGTGACGATCTGTATACGTAAAAAAATTATATTTGTGACCATGTGATTGAGGTAGATACTGTAATATACAACTGGATCTACCAAGGCAGATAACACCATACAAGTATACACCATATTAGTGAAGAGTACAGAGTTGACACACGTCCCGTCAAATTATTAACGTGAGAATTATATCAATAATGTGGTCAACAGAGCATTAACTATACGGCCGTGACTACACGTCTCTGAATTCATCAAGGCTACTGCGGAGTTCAGCTATATCCTCTACAGTTGTTAAATCATAAAGAAACTGTCGGAGTTTACCAAAAATGTTAAACAACACGTTTCTTCCTAATGATAAATATGCTTCACCCTGTTCGTGGATTGGAATTTGATGGATTATGGACTTTATTATGGAAGTAACACCGTCCAATTTAGAAGGCCAATGGGAAATTAGTTCACAAGGGGGTGACAGTCTTTGTCTGGATTGGAAAATCCTTTATCTTCTCGGCTAGTTACGTCAGCGTCCTTGACAGATTTGTCAGCGTGAACATATGCCCTCAGGGAGGTGCTCACAATCCACATTTCTCTCGTGTTTTTCCCAATTCTTCAAGGTTTTCTTAAATATAATAGTGTTTCATGGAGTTTTCACTTACATGAGACAGCGGAAACTTTTAGTATTGGATATGGCCACCATATCCAACAGGCGAGATGGGTTCCATATCAAAGAATAATGAGTTTGTATATAGGTAAATATTTATGTCAAGTTAAATAAACTTTACTCCTACAAGCGCAAAGGTATTGATAACATCCCAGCCAGGTTTTTAAGGGATGATGCCACTATATTAAAACAATGCCGAGAAGACAATTTGAAGAAGGTACGGCACGTGCCCTACTGCATGTGGAATGTCTGGACGTCCATCTCGGAGATCCTGTCAGCTGACATTTATCTCTCGACTTCCTTTAAAGCTTCATCTCCAATATGTAGAATTCTCAAGTAGTTTTTTTTCCCGAGTTGATGCTGTAGAGTTTATTTTGTTCCAAGTTCCAACCACTTCAGGCTTTAGGAAATGTAAAAAACAAAAATGTAGCAACCAGCATAGAGAGCCCAGCATACGGTGTGTGGATAAGCAGTGTTTCACTCTGAAATAGCCATTTACTCTTGAAAACACTGGCATGACAGATTGAAGAAACTATTTCTACAACAAGAAAATTGTTCTTCAAAATCTTAGCGTTGTGCGCTCTGTGAATATTGCAAGCACTAACGTTCACAATGTGGGGATTTAGCTTAGCCTTCACTTGCTTTGTTAACGCTTTCATTACATTTAGTTCATCACTAGGTACTATCTGCAAAAGTTTTCAAGTGTACAGTGCATGATGTAGCAACTTCTAGACGGTCCGTCCCTCGTAACGATCTTCAAGAGTGAAGTGCTTCCCCATCAGGAGTACTGTCACCCCGTCTGGTCCCCGAGATATGCTAGGGACTGTAAAGTTGGTTGAAAATGTTCAAAGGAGGGCCACCAGACTGGTGCCTGCACTTCGGCACCTCAACTACCCTGAGAGATTGGAGCGCCTGAACTTGCCTAGCTTATACTACAAACGGGCAAGGGGCGACCTAATTGAGGTGTATAAGCATCTCAAGGGGCACTACTCAGTCGAGTGTCCTTACTTGGAACTGACGGACGCTCGCCCCACAAGGGGTCACAGCTCAAGATTGAAGAAGCCGTAAGTCCAGAAAACTGAGGGCAAACTTTTTCTGAGTGAGAGTTGTGAACTCTTGAAAAATCTACCAGAGAGTGTTGTGACGGCACCGAGTGTGAGCTCTTTCAAGACCAGACTTGACCAACACTGGAGCAGGTTCAGGTACAGTCAGGAGCCGGTGCATGCCCAGTACTTGCCAACAGTGCGTAACAGAGACGTGACCGATCGCCCAAGCGGCTAACGAGCCGATCAGTGGTGAAGAGGATAAAAGTAAAGTAAATGAATAGCAACTTGGGTCCTGCCAATAGTGATGGAAGCAAGATGCCGAACAACA